TCAGGGAGTTCTATAACTTTACTTTCAAGTAAACATTCCAAGATGCCAGGAACATCAGAATCGGGGAAGGGTTATTCTTTCTTCTCTAACTCTTTTAGCGTAGGACGCTGTCTCTCCCTCTCTTGAAACTGGCGAGGCTTTTTATCATCCTTCTTGTCATCTTTAACAGATATCTTAATTGGGGTGGTTGAGATAGCCATTGAATCTTTAGCCGCATTTTTTGATGACTTGTCGCCCTTCTTCCAGTCCTTCTTATCTTTGCGTGGTTCTATAGTCATGGGACTTTTGCCGTCATGGGATTTCATACTGATCTCCATGTCATGGGCACGCGTTGCCAATTCCTCAAATGTGCGAGGTTTTATGCCTTGCAGAATGTAGAGCAGGCCCCAATGCATTCCCTGCATACATATCTCCACAGCAGATACTTCTGACAAACGGTCCTTGCAGTCAAGACTGAGGGCTCTCCACCGATTAATGTAGTCGATTACAGGCTCATCCTTCCATTGCTTCGCGTTAGTCAACTCTATCATACTAACAGTACGACGAGTGCTATAGAACCTGTTCAAGAATTCTCGTTCCATCTGGTCCCAACTATCAATTGATTCTGACTTTAGGTCAGTGTACCACTCAAACGCGTTTCCTTTAAGGGACCGGACAAACTGTTTGACTAGTAAGTCCCCCTCTGTTCCAGTATTGTTACAAGTCTCGACAAAATGGGCAATGTGTTGCTTGGGGTTACCTTTTCCGTTAAATTGCTGAATCTTCGGAGGTTGGTATCCTACATGCATTCTCATACTGTCGATTCTCCTTGTATAGGGCTTTGAGTACATGAGAGTGCTCCGTGAGACACCACCATATTGAGCTCGGATTGTATTTGTTATCATATCTTGCAATTGTTCGACAGATAATGAAGAGACTGAAGAAGAGGTATGATTGGTTTCACCAGTCACCTGTTCTATCCCCGGCATCTGATTTTGACTGGTCGCTTGTTCTGTCACCGACGTCTATTTGGGATTCTCCCTGTGAGTACCTTGTGCTGTAGAATTAGGATTCTCCGTTAGTATTGCTGTGGAAGATGCAGGTTTCCCAGACGGTGGTGGTGTGAAAGTTGCACGATTCTCGGATGGCATTGGTGTTTCACCGAAGGTCTGAACTTCCAATTTATTCATTAGTGTAGCGATTTGCAAGTCCTTTTCTTCAATAGTCTTTGTGAGGTTCTCAATGGAATGAGCCATAGTTGCTAGTTGTTCCTCCACCGTAGTAGCTCCAGTCATCATAGCAGCAACCACATCTGAGTATGATAGGCCTTGAGAATCCACGTTCTTTGAAGTGATTGATTGCTCCGAAGTCTGACGTGGTGACTCTGGGGTTGAACCGACACTAGAGTGAGCATCATAGATAGAACGAAGTGAATCTGGTGGTGGAGCCTCCTCTGGAACAATGTCAAGGTTTTTGACATGTTGAGTTTTCACGTTCGCCGGTGTTGCAGGATTAGTTTTCACCACATCTTGCTGAAGTTTGAATGACGCCATCGCCTGGGACTTGCTACGTGTCACAGGGCCCGTCAAGGGACTTCCATCACTTAATTTGGTCTTCGTGCCACTTTTCATGGTGGCTTTAGCGTCGACCTTTGCAATAGCGATGTTCTTTTGGGCTTTCTTGTCTGTCTGAATCTTAGGGGGAGCCATAGAATCTGATAGAGAAGAAACTTGATGGTAGGAGAAAGAGATGAGAGGCAAAGGTGGTCCCACTGGGCGTGCCACAAATTTGTACACACAAATTTTGTAAGTCTGCAATAGAAACAAAATATGGAGCAAAATAATAATTTTATTAATTTATGAATGTGGAGTACAGTCCTTTGTAATATCTTTTACAAAAAAAGAATGGTCCTCTGATTCGATCTCCTTGTTTTTGGTTGGTTGGATCCAAGGGCTGCACGAGCTTGTTCTTGAATCACTGTGGAATTTGATGAAGAACGGCATGTTGTTGGATGTGCTTGATGTTCTTCGCTTTTGGGTTTCGATTCTGAATTTGTGTCTGAATTCTGAGTCTCTGAAGTTCTGAATTCTGAATTTGTGTCTGAATTTGTAGACTTCTGAATTCTGAATCCTCTCCCCTTTTTTTCTTCCTCCAAGCCTCTATTTATAGGCTTCTTGGATTAATAGGATGATGACACGTGTCATCTCCTGGTAAGGATAAAACTATAACTGGGTCGGGCCGGTTATATTGTAATAATTATCCTTAAAGATAATTATTCAAAATATATTTTATTAGGAATAATTATCATTTCATTTAATTATCTGGGCTGGGCTAATTAAATAATTTAAGTGGACCAAGCCTGGTAAATTAAATAATTTATTTAAACATTAGGCCTATATTTAATGGGTCCATTCGTTAAAACTAAAGCCCACTAAATTTTAGTGTCTACACCTGTGACCTGAAAAATATTAAAATGATGGGGTGAACATAAAGCTCATTAGGAAGCGCCTAAGACACACCTCTTATGAGCCTGTGAATCCATACAATGAATAGGATACGAGAGAACGGAATCATATCTCGGGGAAAACAAGCAAAACAACGATAATATCAATAGATACATACGCAAGTCGTCCAATCACCAAGTGTGCAATGTATGTCAATGAAATGCCATGTCATGCAATGTTGCTCTCCATTTCCGAAACACTACTGTTTCACCTTCCAAACTGTTAGTGTAATCCGACCCAAGGCACCTCCAAGGCGTCACGAAAGGAGGATTGGCTAACAATCCACGACCACAAAGCACCTCTATGGCGTCGTATCCGGCCTAGTTAGCTCAACCACGCTAGGGTCTCTTCCTAGTCCTCTCTACACCACACTAACACCATGGACCACAAGGCACCTCCTAGGTGCCCGATTTTAGCAAACACTTTTCAAAAACTTTTTTCAAAAATAATTTCATTTGTTTTTAGAACAAACTTTTCCTTTTACTTTCCCAATGTCAATACATGAATTATATAATTTCTTCAATGCTATGAAAATATAGAAATTTCATATATATCATTCACATCATTTAAGCATATTTAAAACATGAATTTCCACATAATATCGCATTCTCATATTTCTAAATCATGGCATTTTACATACTTTCAATTCGCAAATCCAACAATTAAATTCTACACATTCCATCAACGTCATATTCACATTTTGAGAAGAAATTCTAAACATTTATTTCCACAACTAATAATCTCAAATTTACATAGCAATTGGCAAATATTTTACATACAACTTGTTATTATTGAGCATGATTTTTATCACAATGAATTAACTAAGTTCATAGGCTCAATTAACACACTACATCACTTATCATCATGAACACAACTAAATATAATCACCATATTCAAAATAACTAAAACTAAGCATGCTTATGACCAACATTAGAAAGGAAAATTCACAAAGAATAGAAGAAATTCTGAATTAGAACACTCTTACCTCAAATGAGAGAAAAACCCCCAATTTATGCCTAATTTTCGAAATCCCTAAGGGTGGCCAAATGGTGCCAGACTCTGATCAAATTGAAGGTCTCAACGAACTCTCCAACTTACCGGAAACGACATAAACAAACTCTCAATGGTTGGAGAGAAATAAAAGCTTGAAGCTTTGTAGAAAAAGAAAATAAAAATGAAAAGAAAAGAGGGAGAGAGGAACCCATGATTCTAGAGAAGAAAAATGAATGAGAAGGTGATATGTGGTGATACAAATGGCCTTAGTGTCATTTGGGACCCATGCACTAAATAAAAATCTTTTAACTTAAATTTTCCACCACAAAACTTATATGTGTAAACTAACTATGTTACATCCACATTTAAACGTTTAAACAATAAATTTATGGACAAAATAATTATGCATGAAATGCCATGGACCCGAGACGCCACCCCCGTACACAATAATTCCGGTAGTTGGTCCCACCCGAGACTTGCCAGCCCGAAAAATGAAAAAATGCCGAAATGATAACCATTACATTTTCAATAGTTCTGAACTCAATGGAATGCGCCAACCAACTCTAATTTAGACACAACCGGCACACTCCATGGTGTCCGGTACGCAAAACGAGAAAAGATAAAAATTCTCTCGAAAAAATAAAAAAATTCCAAAAAATAAAAAATGGGGAAAAACAGAAACATCACAAAAATGCTTTATTATTACTTTACTCCGTATTAATGAAATTCAAGTTCAATTGCCAATTATTCTGTTTGCTTTGTGAATATCTATTTATATTTCCAAACTTATATTATGTTTAAAATCGTACTTCCTCTGTCCCACTTTAATTGTCACCGAGTCGAAGGTGACAATTAAAGTGGGACGAAGATAGTAATGTTTTTATTTATTTATTTATTTATTTTAGTTGTGACTGGTTTAATAGTAATATTGTTTCATTGTAATTTAAAATAAAGAATCACATGAATAGCTAAGACCGCCTACACATAGACTACCTATAACCATTCCGTCCATTCCATGAGAGGGAGGCCGTCACAGTCTAAGTGTCGCTATTAAGACTTCAATTTGAACGGAAAGAGTATTTATTAATTTATTTTTGGTTTGCACGACTTCAGACAATAAGGCAGCTAGAAAAGCTATGCCTGTCAATCGAGTAGATGATTTTAAATTATTAGAACGTATCATTAGACTTTCTGATAAAAAGTGACACTTCACTTTTTCGCTTTTCTCTTTTCTAGAAGATCAGTCCCATCTCTTATAACCATTTTGTGACCATTTTCAAATCCAATTGCAATAACTTTAATTACTCAAACTCTGATCTATATGGAAGAATCCCAATAGATCTCCTCCTCCCCCTAGGTAGTTCATGAGAAACTCACCTGCCCATTCACATGATCATCAATGTCCCCTCCTCTTTATTGCACTCACCACCCTCTTGCTTTCCTAACAAACTCCTCCAAAAAAGCTTCCATCCTTTGCCAACTCATCCAAAACCACTTTTCTTTAAAAGGGTTTCCCAATGGAACTCTTCACTTCAATATACACATAGAAGACGATCTCCTGCTTCAATATTTCTCAGTCCATATTATTTAATTTCTTCTTTTAAAATCCGTAAAAAATGGCACGTGTCATCGCCGCATTGGTGATGGTACTAGTGGCATGGCTAGCACATTTGTGTTCATTGGCATATGGGGACAGTTATGTTAGAAATGCATGCAGTGTGACTCAGTATCCTGATCTTTGCATGCATTCTCTATCTTCATTTTCGAGCACGGCCAAGGACAGCCCTACCAAGTGGGCTCGGGCCGGGGTTTCGGTAACCATCAATGAGGCTAAGAGGGTTGCTCGGTACTTGGTGAAGTTGAAGAAAGGTGGGACTATTACAGGAGGAAGAAACCGAGGTGCTCTTTCGGACTGCATCGAGTGCTTGCAGGACACAGTGGACAATCTTCATAGGTCACTTGGTGTGCTGAGGAAGCTCAACGGGCAGACTTTTGGATCTCAGATGGGTGATGTCACTACTTGGGTGAGTGCTGCTCTTACTGATGAAGATACTTGTTTGGATGGGTTTGATGGGCAAAGGGGAAAGAAAGCTAACTTGGTGAGAAATAGGGTTTCAAAGATTAGCTGTATCACCAGTAATGCATTGGCTCTTGTTAACAAACTGGCAACTTCTGGCCCAGAAACCCTAGATAATTGATCCATAGATGTTGAAGGGATTTTGTCACATGTAAGCACATAATATATATATATATATAGGAATGTATGTATGTATGTATGCGTGTAAAACTAGATTGGGAAGTTTGATTCACGAACTGTTTAGTTAATTAGTAATCTTATAAGAGAATTGCCTACGCCTAGATGACCAGTTGGATGCTGATTGAAGTGCATCGATGATGGAAGCGTCTCAGCATGACGTAATAAAGCCCACTCAAGCTTGAAAAAGATCTAAAATCTTCAATGTTTAATTAGTGGTCTCAACTGTTACTACAATTAGTTTTATGTATAACTATGGCATCAATCTTGTATGACAAATAAGCTATCCTCTCTTTGACAGCCAGGTGGTGATGTTATTGGGAGTGCTCTATATCTCATTTCAAAAGTAATTTATCAAAACACCACCAAATGTTGTCAAAAGTAATTTATCAAAACACCACCAAATGTTGTAATTTAGGCCCGTTTGACAATTACAATTGCTTTATGTTTTTGCTTTGATCTGAAGTAGAAGTAATTTTTCTACTTTTAAAGTGTGTTCAACACTATTTAGAAGCTTGTTTAGTAACGTAAATTTGTTACAAAATTTTTAGATGCAAAAATATGAAAGCATGTTTGATAAAAAGTGTTGCAAATTTGAAAATTTGAATGGTTAGTTAAAAATGTTATTTTAAAAAAGAAAAAAATATATATGATCAGTGCTTTGCTACAGTGCGGAAGCACACAAAAGCATCATTTTGATGCTTCCGATTTTGGCCTTAATTTTGAAAGCACTTCGGTACTATTCAAAAGCACAGCAAATATTACCAAATATATTTCGTGCTTTTACTTCGCTACGGTATACTAGTAAAAGCAAAAGCACTAGTCAAACAGGCCCTAGTGATGCTACTTCATTTTTTAAATGAAAGGTCAAGTAAGATTATTGTATGCCCTTCACAGTAACTGTTTGGATTTTAACTGACATTTTATGTCAATGAAATTGTGATTAAATGTTTTTACATATATATATGGTGAATAATATGTATTGATCAATTTATAAGGTGGGTTGGTTTCTTATGATTATACGAGTTGATTCATGTTTATGATGGGTGTTCATATGTGGTTCTAAATGATCATTTTATTTATTTTATTCGGTAATGAAAGATGGACTCTCTAATAATAAAGCAGAAAATGAAACATTCTTGTGTAATAACCCGATCATTTTCCTTCCTTTGCTTTTTTCAGAATTTTACGGATAAATTTTTTTCGTTGACTTTTCTTTTCCTAGTTCGGTTTCTCATCACTTAGTGTCATCTCGAGTGCTTGAAAATGATTTTTGAGACTCTTTCCTTTGAATTGACAACTTCCTTAAAGAATCGCGTCATTTTCACATTTTTTTTTTTTTTGATACTATGCACCTTTCATCTTTTTCCCCATTTGTCACTTTGTTGGCAAAACCTCACTTTTCATATTCAGAGTTGAGTTTTGACCTCATGAGTTTTCATTATAATTGTTTTCCTCGAAACGCGTAACTTTACTTTTTGATAAAAGCTCGCCGGTTGTTACTTTCTCCCGTAGGGGCGTGGATGAAAGGATTCTTCAGAAACATTGATGTTTCTTGGAGTATTTTTTTTAAATATCTTTTGAAGATATTTATTTCAGGGGCTTTTAAGAAAATATCTTTTGAAAGATATTTTCATTCTGGGCAGTTTTGCAATTACCCTTTCTTGAAGGAGCCATTGTGCAATTAACGAAAGTTATTACAAAATGCCTCATTTTGAGCTTAGATCCTCGTACAAGATTCATTTTCACTTTTCGTCGAGTCATGTACCCTTAGAATTTTCTGCCGGACGTTTTTCTCAGTTTTAGGGTTTTCGGCCCAAGTTAGTGTCGAACTTGTTCGGGGCATATCTTCCTGTACGAGACTCGGTTTTCGACTCCGTTTCTTCCGTTATCCAATTTTTTTCATTTTGGTTCTTTTTCGTTCACGATGTTTTACCGTTTAAGCACGTCTGCTCAAATTTCACTTTTCCGGACCCAACGGGACCCGTTCGGGGCACTTTTAGGGTTTTTCTATAAATAGGGGGTTGGTAAATAAAAAATGACATTTTTCTCATCTTCCTCCCCTCTTGGTCTGCAGCCATGGCAGCCCAAGGGGCTGCCACCCTTCTTCCTTCTTTTCTGGTCACTTCCCTCTTGAAAAATGCTGTAATGCTTTAGTGTTTATCGTAAGCCTTGGCGAGGCGGTCTTTTCCCTCTTATTAGAAGCCGATTTTGACCATTTTTTAGTTTGGATTTGGATTTTGGTGGTACCTCAAGGGTGATTGTTGCTTCCCTCGTTGTCCCCGACAAAACCCCGAAGTATCATAGGATTCGGAGCGGTTCCGTTTTGGTGGGGATTTGAGATTTCATCTCAAAGTGAGGTAAGGGATGTCTTAGGCTTATATAATTGTTGTATTGATTATTTTATAAACTTATACAACTTGTATGCATGCCTATGTATTTTATCTGGAATTTAATGTAATTATTTTCTTTGTGTAAGATTTAATTCTCATGGTTGTATATAACTTGAAATTAAATTGTGGCATACTATTAAATTAAGCCTTGATATGTTCATTAACATATTTTAGATTGGGAGTATTTGAATAAGTATTGAAATTTTTATTTAATATTTCACTTGTATGAAAATTTAATTCACATGGTTGTAACTAGTATAAAATCAACTTGTAATGTGATATTAAATTAGGCATTGGTACGTTCTTTAACATATGTGAATTTGAGAATATTCTTAATTGTTTTAAAATCTAGAGAAAATTAATTAATTAGGTTAATTAATTTTATTTTAAGTGATCTACTCGCTTAATTGGATTTTTAATTTGATATTATTAATGAGTTTGGCATGTCCTATCATATACATCAAATGGAGAATATTTGAATAAATTTTGAGGCTTTTATTTAATTATTTTCTTTGTATAGAATTTAATTCACATGGTTGTATCTAGTGTAGAATGAACTTGTAATGTGATATTAAACTAGGCCTTGCCATGACCTTCAACCTATATTATTTTTAAAATATTTGGAGTTTCTTGGTAATCTTGAGAATTTAATTATTTAATTTAATTAAATTTCATTTATATGCTTCCATTGAGGTAATTAGACATTGTTGTTGTTTTCATGCTTAGTTTATAAATTTTGAACTTGTTGTATGATTATATTATAGTATTCAATGAGTAGAAGTTATAGTTTAACTTGCTTATATACACAATATACATTTGACATGTCGTATGTCATTGTAGCTTGAAGATATAGGACGAATATTGTTTGTTTTACATGACTTGTTTGCGCATGGTAGTTGACTAAGTGTATTGTGTATATATATTATACCTTGATGCACAACTTGTTGATTTTAGGAAAGCTTGCACGGACATTAGAATATGTTACGGCTAGGGCATGGCTCTAGTACAGGGGATGAGAGCTCCCCCTACAACATATAGTGCGCACTGGGTGGTACCCTAAGGGCTAGTAACCCAAAAACACCAATATAACGGTTTTATTCCGGGTTTAGTGCGCACTAGGTAGCACCTTGAGGGCTAGTAACCCGACAGCTAGTAACCCGAGATCACTTGCTTGGTCATTGAGACCATATGTCCTTACCTTTCCGCCACTACTTGATTTCGCATTCAATTCCAAGTTGTTTAATATGGATTATTTATAACTTGTGACATGGTGTTTGACATTTCAATTTGGTATAGTATACATGTGCTTAGTATACTTGTATGCATTGCTTTTCAATACAAGATAATAGCACTAAATTGTTATAACTTGTTGTTTCCGCATTTTAGATTTCAAGATGTTAACTTTGATAATCTATGCCTTGACGTTGTATTAGAAGTTCTACTTTTACTAAATTGTAATATTTAGTTGTTTACGCACTTTAGGTTTCAAATGGATAATTTTGCTAATCTTTATTTTGATGCGTTGTTTTAGAAGTTCTAATGTTAGTTAAAATTGCATTGATATGTAATTTGGGTTTTAATTGTTTAATGTAGCCTATGATGATTTCTTAGACTCACTTGGAACATTGACGTTAGGTGGCATGAACTGTTTTAGTTGTTTTCGCATTTTAGGTTCTAGGTTGATAACTTTGAATACCTATATCTTATTGTGTCGCACCATATGCCCCTATGTTGTTTACTTGCATAAATATTGTAGTTTATAGTAAGAATGTTTTAAAGTAGCTTAAGATGATTCTTGAGTCTCACTTTTGACCTAGACGTTAGGTGGCAAGAACCTTATGAATTGTTTCACATTAATTTGATAAACTTGTAAGAAGTTAGGTCTATGTATGCTCATTCCCTATGAGTAATACAGGTTACTCATCCCTCGTTGAATGCGACCTGTTTCAGGCAAGAAGACGTGGTTTTGGGATGCACAATATCCCTTGGATGTTTTTTGTAGACTTAAAGTATTTAATTCATGCAAATGTTAGTATGAAATGTTATTTTTAATTTAAAATGTCAAAAATTATATATTTAGTTCTAAATATGTAATGAGCACTTAAGTGCACCATTTGGGATGTATTTGACATGTATGTAATGAGGCCATAGGCCAAGGACATTTAATTTGTATTCTAAGTACTTTTATTTCTAAGTGATTTTGCTGAAAAATAGAAAAATGACATGTATTAACTTCACTACATTTGCATGGGGTGTGGGAAGTGCGCTTTAGCACTTCCATGGGGTCTGTTCATTTATGCATGAGGTGTGGCCAAGGGCTAAATGGTCTTTTGAAACCATTTTATAATTTTAAGTTTCAATTTTCCCTTTTAAAGTCCATTTTAAGCAAAATTGAGTCTTGATAGGTCAAATTTTGCATCGGGCATTTATGGGGTGCATGGACCATTCCCGCATGCTTAAAATCACTTAATACGTTTGCGTGCACAATCGTTTTAGCCCAGAAATCCATTTAGGGTCAAATGAGCACTTGGTGCAATATTGCATTTTTATCGTTTTTGACCTAAACCGATCTAGGGGCATTCTGGGAAATTTATAGTGCATTTTAAAATTTTCTTTTGATATGGCAGGTAGAAAACTTGATTTTAAGGGGGGTTTCTTCTTTGTGTTTTCACAAAAAAATTCGTTTAAGGGTCCAAATTTGCCCTTAGTTCTAGAAAATCTGAAAAAATGTTGCTGCCAAGCAGGTGCCATGTGCGCACAGCCCGCGGGGCACACCTTTCCACACATGCACCGCGCGTACCTTCCCGCGTATGCTCGCGGATCAGCATGTGTGGTGCGCACCTTTCCCCACGCGCGCGCGGCACTCATCCTTGCGCGTGCGCGGTGGGCTTCCGCGCGCACATGGGGTGCCTTGGTTCCCCCTTGCTTGGCCGCCTTGACTCCATTTTCATTTTTATTATTTCTTCTTCATCCGGACTCCAATTTAGGCTATTTTTTTG